GTTTAATCGTCCCTCTCCCAACATCATATGCTTATAGTGATTCTCAGTGAAACCCACTATCCAGAATCGCTGTAACAGTATTATTGTTGTTACAAGTTTTGTCTTTGTCTTTTGTTGTTTTAATATCTTCTTTATTATCTGTGTCAATAAGATCAATGACATATTTTTCTTTAGGAATATACTTTTCTTTGAAAATGGTAGATTTTTTTCAAAAATAATAAGCTTTTTCTCAGGATTACAAGTATTACAATCATCATATGGAAGTCTTTTACAATTTCTATACCAATGACAGAAATATAAATGGAGAGTATATTATTAATTTTGAAATTTTTCTTCCATTTCATTTTCATATCTGATAATTCTTGTAACTTTTATACATGACCAACATTGCTTTCCACAATATGGCGATGTTCTCCAGTCTTTTGATTCACAAACATGTAATATCTGACTAAGTTGTTCTCAAATAGTTCTTCAGACCTAAAGGGATATTCTTTTTCTGATAGTTGATTTTTATGCGTGATAATAGAGGTGTTTTCATTTGGGATCATCATTCCGAGATGTGCAATTGACTCCTGAGTTTCGCTATATATGCTAATTTCAGTTCATTTGATACAGACTAGCCACTTATTATTGCGAAGTGATGAGTTATAAAAACAAGATATACCTGATTATATCTGTAATCAATATGGCACTTTCTAACCTCAAAGCCCTTGCGTATAATATCCTAAAAGAAACGGGAGAAAGCATCGTCCAAGATGTAGAAATTCCAGAGCTACCGCTCGGAATGTTCCAAGAGTATTTTGCCAGTTCCGATTAAGAAGTTATAATAAATATTTTGCCCTTTGCTGATTAGAAATTACATCAATCACGTGCGAACAATCATCTATAAAAAGTAGATTATCTAATCTCATCTTATAAAAATGTCTTTGTTGCTTGATCTCGTTGCAAGGTTTTCTCGTTCTATCTCACGTACCTTCCGACCAGCAGTATTTTTCTCATCTACTGCTACATTATTTGACAACAAACTTTCTGAATCACAAGAATTTGTCAGGGACGAGCTTAAGAAAAGAGGGTTTCCCGACCACCTCCACACTACAGCATCTAATTTCAGGAATGAAGATTTGGATCTACTAAAAGTAAGCTTCGAACCAGCTTTACAGAACGAGGTCCTCCCTGATATAGAAGGTACGAACTACGCTGTGCCAACAGTCTTCTTAGCGAACCTAATACTTATAATTTAAATATTGTTTAGACACTTTTTCTTGCTTGATAAATAAATACGCCCTTCCCGAAATCGATCGTAAAACAATTACAGCCGAGGAATTTGATGTTGAAAATCATCCTGAAATTTCGGACGATGATGTCAGATCATTCGCAAAAGACCTGAACAGAGTTGCCGCGAATTTACGTGCCGATGAAGGCATGGATGAATCTAAGACTGACAGACTGATAATGGATTTACTAGTGCGGGTTGTTGAATTCCATAAATGGCCCTTGAGTGTTAGGTGAGCAATTATGAGAAAGGTCTTTTGTTTGTGATGTATTTCAATGATTTCTTAAAATTTACATAATATCCAAACCTAGTCCACACCCGCCATGCTGTCTATGCATCTTTGGCGAGCCTTATGTTACCGCAAAACCTGAATATGTGGTCGATAAAGGTGATATTTTTATGATTGTTGTAGAGGTGAGTATGTTTGATTGTTTGGAAATTCTTATTTTTGTTGACTCATATAACTTTCTTTTGACAGGATAAACATATAAAAAACAAAAACCTTAATAGTACGAAAAGTTTTGGAGAAGCACAATTGGCTGCGGAGATACTCACGTGTGCTGATGAAAACAAGCGCCGAATGGAAAGTAAACCAAGTAGAGCTGGGGTAATCCCGGATCAAACTATATTTGGCCTTCGCGCCGTCTCCACATATTTTACGTTTTACAAAGCTGTAATCCATACAGAATATTGGAAGGAACTTGAAAAGGGCTTACCAACAGAACAGTCACTTGTGGTTAAAAGATGGCCAGGGGAAGATGTTCCAAGGGGTGGTCTTGACATTGCGGAACCGAAGGGAAGACGAGAAATTCTAATGGCATTTTCCAAACTTCGCCGATTTCTTTTGAATAGATAATCAGTTGTAAGCTTATTAGCTGTGTTTTGGATTATAATAAAAAATTTCCATTGTTATTTGCAAACGATTGGCAATGAAAATCAAAATCAACAGGATCCCTGTTCAAAAGCAAATTCGATTAACAGATTAACGAATTATCAGCGCAAGAAAAAATCCTGCGAAGAAGCCAAAAAGAAATTAGACGAGCAAGAGTTTTCTCGCCGTCACAAACACATGACTCCACCACGTGAAATAAAAATAACGCCAATTAATATGCAATTCACACGAGATTTCAGCGGAAGGATACATGTAAGTATAAGATTCTTTGAACTTTAGTTATGACATTTCCGTGGTCACGTATTAATGAGTTTTTTCTAGTTCTTTACAGGTATCTAATTCGAAACAATTATACGAGAGTTACCTTACATAATCGCAAAAATTCTGAATTCGATTCTTGGACAATGGGTGTTGCGGTTACTCCTTTTATCCGCTTCGCATAAGTAAAACGAAAAAACTAATCAATAAATTGCAAAACTGGTAAACGAGGATAATTCACAACAATGAATAAGATATGTTGGATTAACGCTTTGAACCAATTTCTGGAGGGATTATGGTAATCGTTCATCTATTAATCTTCATTGGCGCAATACCTAAATCACGTACAGTGAACGCAGATTACTGTGCCCTTGCGATTCAGAAAAACCCGATACCTATTTAAACTTTAATTATTAGTTCAATGATTATCATATTGCTTTCACATACTCCCAACGACACCCCCACTCAAAGATGATTTAGTATCCTGTGAATTTATGATTTTCTCTTGATCTCGAAGCTTCTTTTCCTTAATGTTTTGAATTATCTCTTTACTAACCTTTTCTTTATATGCTGAATCTAAGAAATCGTCCATTTCCTTGTCTTCCGATGATTTAGGCTCTGTACAGATAGGTTGGTATATATCAGAATTTGAAACATTATCAGATGCTGGAGCATTCTCATTTTGTGTGACAATCTGTTCATGGGTACCGTTAGAATTTGTTTCGGGGGGAATAGGAGGTGCAGAATATTGGCTATCTCTATCCTGGCATGTATTTGACCTATTTTCTACCTGTTCAGAAATATCAGAACTTGAAGTGTTGTCAGATATATCGGATGCAGGAGCATCGTTAGAATTTTCTGTTTTAGTAGAGATTATATTAACCGAAGATTGCAAAACATCTTTTGTAGAAATACTATTTTCTCCCTGTTCTAGTTTCGTGATTCTGGTTTCATGTCCTTCTAAAGCTTGTCTTAATTTAGCATTCTTGTTTCTAAGTTCAGTATTCTCAGCTTGAAGCTTGGAGTTCAATTCTTCTAATAATTTGATTTTTGATTGTGTGTTGCCATTGTTTTATACTAGATGTAGATATGTTCAAAAGTTCGTTTATTAGCATAGAAAAAAAAGTATTCTATGTAAGAAACTTTATGCCAAGAAATTTCTGAGACCGCCGGTCCCGGAAAATCAGAAATCAAAAATTTATGTCGATTACTTTCGGAAAAATCCCGCTTTCTCAAAAATCTCAGTAAAGAAACAAAAACAAATTACTAGTGAAAAATTCTCGATCATATCAATATCAATACAATAAAATAAAACCACGAAATACTATAAAACTAAACATGATTAATTATACGAAATCAATCACCAGGTACATAGATTTATATCAGGTATAAAAATCTTGATCGTACCTTGATGCATATATAACCTCACACAAAAAAATGATATACAATGTAACTGATTTTTTACCTGAAATAGTAGTACATTCAACACGAAAAAATTACTAGTGCGTGTCAATTTGTCACGCCAATTACTTTTGCCAAGAAATTTCTGAGACTGAAAATCCAATCACATGATGGAAAATTCTCGATCATATACAGTAAGTAACATAGATATTCGATCAGGTCATTACTTTGTAATACATTTATCACATGCTATATCGCAGAATAAAATCAAAGGTCGTGGAATTTCTGCATGCATGATCCAATTATGTAACCTACTAATTGTTACGCACGACATGCCATACAAATCCCAATCTGATTCACTAACTCGTAACATATGCATTTTCTTTGTGAAAAAGTTTTTCGCCATGCATCGCTCCGCTCCACAGTCCCCAGATCTATTATTCTCAACCTGAACAAGACCAGAAATGGGCGGAGGAGAACGTTTTAGCACTTTGTACCAGTTCCACTAAAAGAGCAGTATATCTACATTATATTTGTTCATCACTTCTTTTTATCTACATTTTCTTTGAACTCGACTAATCAATATGTCTGTTGATTTACAAACTAAAATTCACAATTTTTTGATTAATGCCGAAGAACACCATATAAATGTCACCTCTGTTGTTCACCAAGGCTTGGAAGAGAATCCCTGAATCCTGCAGAATAAGTTGAGAATGGTTGTAGACTGAGTCATTGGTTATATTAGTAATTTATGTCTGGTTGGGTCATTGTATCAGCTAAAGCTTTTTAGAATTTATTCACAGATTAGCTATTAGACTTTTTAAATTTCAAATAACAAAAGTAAAATACTTATAATTCAATTTCAATAATTCCAATACAGCAATTTGTTCAGTACAATATAATATAAAGCTCAATAATCTAATAACAACAATTTGTTCAGCATAATATGATATAAAGTTCAAAGTCAATAATAGCAATTTGCTCAGCACAATTCAATATAAAGCTATCAGCGATTTGATAAGTTCAATATAATATAAGATCACTTATACACAAGATTTAAAGTATATAAAAAAATATGAGAGACGAGAAGTATTTGGAAGAAGATTTTTGATAAAAGAGATTTTTATTTTCAGTTACAACATGTCAAGTTAAAGCTCAAACAGCATCTCTATTTATACATTTTTCAAAATTACAAAAAGTGAAATAAATAATTATAAAAATATATAAAAG